CTACCAAGTGCTGGTTTCTTTCTTTCTTAAAAAAAATCCCATTACATAATTTAACAATCATTTTGTTCCACTGTGAGATGAAAAGAATTCAGCAGCCTTCAGCTGGAGCTGAATGGAGAAGCAAATTATAGAAATCACTGACATTAGTGCCTGGCTAGAGTAGAATTGTTTCCTACTGAAGACTTGAAAGTATTTTGTCCAATCTAATTTTGAAAGACTAGAGTCACTGGGCTTCCACTGCTTTCCCTGGGAACTACAATTATGTGGCCTAATGCAGCACAGGGTCAGGACAGTATCTCCAGCTGATCCCGGAGCAGTGGACACATTCATGGGAGGTCTGGTCGCTTGGATTTTTCAAAATGAGATTGAAAGAAAAGGCACAAGTGTTTTGTTCACTTGAGAAAATATTTCTTTCCATTCTACACAAGGATGTTTCTTTGGACTGTTCTGCTGGCATTGAATTGTAGTCAGCTACATAATGGTTTTTGTTGAACTTGGTTTTATGGAGGATTCCCCCCCCCCCCCACAAAATCACATATCTAGAGCAGTATGATGAACACTTTTCTACCAGTGGCTAATCCCACTCTATCTACAAATTCATCAAATTCCCCCTCTTCTAGGATTAATTTGAAACATATTTATAATTTTCTTTAAAAATTCTGAAAAAAATACACATAATACCATATTTACCTAAATCCTAATCATTTTAAAGTGTACAATTCAGTGGCATTCAGTATATTCACAGTGTTGAACAATCCATTACTATTATTTGGTTCCAGAATTTTCCATCATCCTAAAAGAAAACTGTATTCATTAAGCAGTCACTCCTGTTTTCCCCACCCAGTACCCGGAAGCCACTAATCTGCTTTCTCTCTTCATGGATTTGCCTATTTGGATATTTCATATAAATGGAATATATATATATTTTTTCTTTCTTTTTCTGGCTGCTTTCACTTTCACTTAGCATAATGTTTTCTTGATTCATCCATGATGTATCCTCTATCTAGACTTCATCCATTACACTTTTTGTTTGTTCATCTGTTGATGGATATTTTGGTTATTTCCAACTTTTATCTATTGTGAATAGCACTACTTTGGACATTCTTATTCAGGTTGTTTTTTTTTTTTTTTTAAAAAAACATCTATTTTCAGTGTTTTGGGTATACATCTAGAAGTAGAATTACTGAGTTCTCTATCAGTTCTGTGTTCATCTCATTGAGGGTCTCTTGAACTGTTGGCCACAGTGACTGCACCATGTTACAGTGCCTTCAGCAATGGATGAAGATTCGGATTTCCCTACATTTTTAAAAATTATAGTCATCCTCATGGGTATAAAGTGACACTTCCCTATGGGTTTAATGTGTATTTTCCTAATGACCAATGGTGTTGAACAGCTTTTCATGTGATCATTAGCCATTTTTTTGGTTATCCTTCTTTAGAGAGATATCAAGTCTTTTGCCCATTAAATTGAATTTCTTGTCTTCTCATTGTTGAGTTGTAAATGTTCTTTATATATTCCGGATACTAGGCCCTTGTCAGGTAAACAATTTGTATATATATTTATATTCTATCGGGTTATCCCTTCACTTTCTTAATAAAGTGTCCTTTAATGCACAATCACAATAGTGTATAATTTTGATGAAATTAATATTTTTTTCTTTTGTCACTAGTGAATTGTTGCAATGTCTAAGAATCCATTGAAAGGTTTCAAGAAGAGTCATTGAAAAGATTCAAGAAGAAAGGTCCCTGAGAATTTTTTTTTTCTCTTAAAAGTTTAATAGTTTTAGCTCTTACATTTAGGTCTCTAATGCTAAAATCAAACAAACAAAAATTTAGGTCTTTGATTATTTTTGAGTTAACATTTTTGCATATGGTGGGAGGTAAAGATCGAACACCATTGTTCTACATGTGGATATCCAGTTGAGTTGTCCCACCATCATTTGTAGAAGAAACTGTGATACACTTTTATCCATAAGTATGTCTGCATATTTCTTTAAAAGACAAGAACATTTTTTTACTAACCACAGAACCATTATCACACTTCTAAAAATGCTAATCTTATTTCCTTAGCATTATCAACTATCTAAGTCTAAGTTGTAACAGTCTCAAAAATATTTTAGCTTTTATTTAGAAATTTAGTAATTTATTTATATTTATGTATCTGTTTTAGTGTCCAAATAAGATGTATCCATTGCAATTTGTTGATTTGTTTTTTAAATTGAAATTTTTTTTTGTAGTTGTAGATGGACAGCATGCATTTATTTGTTTATTTTTATATGATGCTAGGGATCAAACCCAGTACCTCATGCGTGCTAGGCAAGTGCTCTGCCACGGAGAGACAGCCCCAGCCCCTGTTGATTTACTTTAGAAAATATTTTATATCTACAGGTTTCCCTTCCAACTCTCTTTTCTTTTCCTTTGCAACTCATTTGGTGAAGAAACAATTTGTCTAGACAAGTTTCCTAGTCTAGACTTAGCTGATTTCCTGTAAGTTGTGGGTGGAAAGAACTAGAGGCTCCAGCAGATTCAGGTTTTTGTTTTTTTGTTTTTGGCAACACTACCTCTTAGGTGATGCTTTGTTCTTCTATCAAGAAGCAAATCTTATTCTCATGCTCTTCGTCCCTACTCTGTTCTTAGTTACTCTCCTTATATCAAAGAAGACATTTGGCATTTGTTTTTTAGGGATTGGCTAGCTTCACTTAGCATAATCTGCTCTAGTGCCATCCATTTCCCTGCAAATTCTATGATTTTGTCATTTTTTAATGCAGAGTAATACTCCATTGTGTATAAATGCCACATTTTTTTTATCCATTCGTCTATTGAAGGGCATCTGGGTTGGTTCCACATTCTTGCTATTGTGAATTGAGCTGCTATGAACATCGATGTAGCAGTGTCCCTGTAGCATGCTCTTTTTAGGTCTTTAGGGAATAGACCAAGAAGGGGAATAGCTGGGTCAAATGGTGGCTCCATTCCCAGCTTTCCAAGAAATCTAGAGGAAATGAGGGGAGAGGGAAAAAATAATACAAGGGGGAGAAATGAAGGTCAGTAGAGGGGGTAGAGAGAGAAGAGGGGTGGGGAGGGGAGGGGAGGGGGGATAGTAGAGGATAGGAAATGTAGCAGAATACAACAGACACTAGTATGGCAATATGTAAATCAATGGATGTGTAATTGATGTGATTCTGCAATCTGTATATGGGCTAAAAATGGGAGTTCATAACCCACTTGAAGAAAAGTGTGAAAGATGATATATCAAGAACTATGTAATGTTTTGAACAACCAACAATAAAAAAAAAAAAATGAAGCAAATCTTAGTTATTTCTTACTTGTTTATGTTAGCAACGAAGTCTGCTCATTAGGAGGTACAAATAATGACAATGTAGTTGTATGATGCCTTCATCCTTTGTTAAATGGGATATCTGCTTTCATGAATAGAAGTTTTCCCTGTTTTATTATTTAGCTATCCAGTGGTAAAATTAGTGTAAGAAAGAATACATTTCTGTCACTAAAAGTAAATCTTACAGTTAAAGAAAAAGAAAGAATAAACCAGAACCCTCCCCCCACTTTAACTAGTTCTCAAAAGAATAAGTTGGTTTGTTATTTTCTTCTAATATTACCAATTTTGTTCTTGGGAGGTTACTTTATTAACACATTTAATTAAGCATATTTAATGTGTTTCTAGAAATTGCCAGTATTGTTCTAGTCAATGACTAGAGTCCTTTTTGACATGAATCTTTGGTCTTTGATAGCTTCCCTTACATATGGGAAATTTGTCACTTATTCTGGTTGGAATGTAGTCTATTGTAGTACCTCCCTGTAAAAGCTTCTTGTAAGCCTTGAAACTTCTGCTCCTCCTTTGGAGAAGATGGGTGGGTTTTATAAGTAACCCAGGCTTTTTGAAATCATAAGTCAAGTCAGACCAGGCATTGGAAACTCACTCATGGAACTCATTTCGTAACTTTTTATTGAGGTTCTATTAGACACACAGACAAAAAGAAAACGGGATTCCTGCCTGCAGATTTTGCATCCTGGTGGGTATCTTTTAGGACCTAGTGACACAGTGCTGATATCAGACATACACATTTGCACAAAGCCAAAACCATCAATGTGATTTTACCATGTATCTGTTTTAGTTCTTTCTCTACTGTCAAGTCAGGGATTGATTACTAATTATTTTGAATTATTTTTATATAATTACCAAAAGTAATATAAATATCTAAGAAGATGACTTGTTGAGAAATGCATTTGAAGGCAAAAAGATAGAAATGGATATTTCCTTTCTAAGCCTAGAAAATGGATGTAAAATCATGTAGACTCCTGTTCCTCTTCTAGGCTCTACTTTGCTGTTAAGTAAGGGCAATGTTTATTTTCTGCCTATTTTATAAAGTTGCTGAGTGCCGTAATGAGTTTATATTTATAGAGTGCTTGGAGCTTTTTGGATGAAAGGTGCTAAATTAGAGTTTATTGTTTATTGAATTTATTTGATGTGTCCAACCTCCTGGGAACATTTACCGAAGTTAATTAAAAACAGATCGTCCCCACTCTGACAGCTTACAGTGCCAGTTACAAACCAATAACATAAACAATGTGCACTTCTGTTGTCCTAACTTGGCACTGACTGCAGAACCATAGGTCTTCAGACAGGGAAATGGTCCTGCTTGTAGGAGATAAGCATTCTTGTGCTGGGGAGAAAGTACAGATAATCTCAACTGATTCTGAGCCACCTACCTGACCCCAGTAAAAAAAAAAAAAAGCAATTTAGAATATAGATATTTCCATCAATTTCCAACTGTTAACTTATAGGTTGAAAATTTTAAAAACAATCTTTCTATCACTGTAGTATGATATTAAGACAAGCGCTTCTGTTTTAGCCTCACATTTTTTTTTGCAGGTTTGGCATTCCCAAACAGCCAACTAGAATACCATCTGCTTTCTTCACCCGACTTGGTAGACGCTGTGAAGTGTAGTAACAATAACAATGGCTCGTTTGCTTCCTTTGCCAGTTGGTGATGGAGTTTTGTGGCGCTGGCTCTGTCACTGACCTGATCAAGAACACGAAAGGTAACACCCTGAAAGAAGAATGGATCGCGTACATCTGCAGGGAGATCTTGCGGGTAGGTGACAAATGGGGACCAACCTATTTCCCAAAGTCATCAAGCAAAACAGGGTATGTTGGGGGGTGCTGTGGTGCTGTGGCCTTCTAGCGTGATTCACAAGTGTGCCATCTCTGCCTCCCTCCTTGAAGGTTACTCTAACTGCTGGTGGTGATGGTGGTTGGGCACGCAGTTCTGCTCTGATGGGCCTGCGCCATTTTCACAGGTCATGTGCACTGTCATTTGGAGGTTGACATCAGGTGATTTCCTTTGGCCAAGGATTCACTTCCAGTGATGTATCTAAGTAGAAATCTGATTTTTTTTATCATAAAAGTAGTGTAGTATAAAGACAGATTTAGGAAATGGGTTGTTTTAAGATGGGTCATTTGAGGTAATCCATTTGTATTATAATTAATATGGTGATGCCTTCCCTGCACTTAAAGTGTTTCAGGATTATGTGATTTTAGTAATCTCTTTACATAGAAGCTAGTTTAACTAATTTTATTTTTAAAAGACTCTTTGAGGCCTAATTACTTAAAGTAATCAAAAGAGCTAGATAAGACTGCTTGTTCTACCAGTTTTACCCACAAATCTCATCATCAGGAGGTAAAGACAATCCTGTCATATTTACTGTACTCAGTTTGGAGAGAAGAAGGTAATTGGGTGCATTCACTTAAACTAGTTTTAATTTTTCTCTTGCTGCTAATACAGAGCTGATTATAGGCCTACAGAGCATTCTTGCTAGATTCGCCTGATGATCATCATTTATTTATAAGCTCAGTCTTCTTAATTTAAGGGAACAAAAGTTAAAATTGTTGTTCACTACATGTCCAAGATATGCCTTTGAGAGATAGATTACATGCTGCAAATGGATGAATCAGTGGATGAGCATTAAAAAGGAAGGAAGATGTAAATAGATACTGACCAGGCCTTAAATGCAAACCAAATTAAGCAAAATACAAAGAGAAATAAAATTTTTAAATGATAGCATTGACAATAGCATAAAAAGTCAAATATCTAGAAATATACAGAAAGAAGTAAATGGCATCTACTCTAAAAATGACACAAAGTTCCTGAGAGAGATTTATAAAGACCTTAATAATTGGAGTTGTATGCCATTTAACGGATCAGAGACTCAATGTGGTAAAGATGTCATTTCTCCCCAGTTTTATCCATATCTTTTGAACTCCCAATCAAAATTCCTGTAGGTATATTTGTGCACAGTGATGATCTGATTTTTAGAAATTATATGGAAATGTCACCCAGAACCACCAAAGCAATCCTAAAGAAGAAAAACAAAAGTGGAAGACTTATGCCCCCAGTTATCAGGATTTCTTTAAAAAACTAGTAAGTAATTAAGACAGAGTGGTATTGTCGTAGACTAGACAGGGACCAAAGGAACAGACTCAAGGCCCTTGAACAGCCAGGCATGATGGTGCACCCCTGTAATCCCAGTAACTCAGGAGGCTGAGGCAGGAGGATCACAAGGTCAAGGTCAGCCTCAGCAACTTAGCAAAACTCTGTCTCAAAGTAAAAAATAAAAAAGTTCTGGGGGTGTAGCTCAGTGGTTAAGTAACCCTGGGTTCAATCCCTATTACCAAAAGGGGAGGAAAAAAAGTCTCTGAACAGACCTACATCACATGAACACCGTGTTTATGGCAAAACTAATGTTGTTATGGATTAAAAAAAAATGCTCTTATGAGCAAAAGTTGATGACTCATATGTAAACATGAGATTGATACCTGCTTTTTACCATATTTAAAAACTTAAAATAGGTGAAAAGTAAAAAACTAATGTTCTTATAAGAAAACAGAGAATAATATACCTATAGCTTAAGGTAGCAAAAAGATTTTTTTATTTGTTGTTTTTAGATATACATGATAGTAGGGTGTATTTTTCACATATTATACATGTTACATGGGGTGCAACCCATTACAATATAGATCCCATTTCTTAGGGTTGAACATGATGTGGAGTTATACCTGTTGTGTATTCATACATGAGCATAGGAAAGTTATATCCATTTATTCTACTGTCTTTCCTATTTCCATCCCTCTCCCTTCCCTTCATTCCCCTTTGTCTGATCCAGTGAACTTCTATACTTACCCTCCCTACCCTTCCGTGTAAAGATTTCTTTAAAAAGAACACAAAACACAATTTGAGGGGAAACAACCTGTCTATCTGCTGATCTTCTCATCTGACATTTGTCTCTGTGTTTTGATGTGCCATTAACTTAACTTGAATTCATGACTTAAACTCACTCCAGGAAACCATGATGGATTACTTCATCCTCTAGACCACACTGTGAGTGCCACCAGAAATTTCTCAGGTTTCCAGGGCTGGTTATCCCCATGTGCACTTCTGGGTACAAGGGTCAATCTTCAGGGTTCTAAAAGCAGAAAGAAAGTTTGTACTATCCCTTGTTTTAAAAATTGTGAAAATAGTGGTTTTTCTTCTTCTTTCCAATACCTTCTCCCAAATGATACCAGGATTTGACATAAGGTGACACCCTGGTAGGAATAGTTGATCACTTGGAAGTGATCAGAAGAATTATCAGAGCTGATCTTCCCTATATTGTATGATCCCATTCAGTACAGGCTTTGGCTCACTTATATGCTCTTGGTGTCTGCTTCTGAACACTCAGAGGGTAGAGGAGGGAGGGGGATCCTCAGCCCTTCTCTTGAGGATTTACGGGTTGTTCATAGACTGTAAAAACTATGCATTTAAATCTGTTTGATGCCCACCTTAGGCCAAACTGACTAGATAAGAAAGGTAGTTTTTTACCGAGTCTATGATAGTGCCTCAAACTGTCCTGTTGCATGATTTATGTTTACTAATATGCTAAATGTACATGTGAATATTTCTTGGACATCTGTACTCTAGTGCTGAATCTCATTTCTTCAACTAGGAAATTCAGATATTGAGTGTGTGCACGCACACACCTTTTATTCTATTTTGTGTTTGTGGCCAACAATTAAAAGAAGAAAATCATAAATAATAAAAGACACTTGGATACATAGTTCTTTGAACTAATAATGGTAGAATATAGCATGCTTTACTTCAAGGCTCTAATTTTAGCTTCTTTTAGATTATAATTTATCTGAAAAATATGTGACTACCTTAGAGTAAATCTGTAGCTTATAGAACTCACAATGCAAAAAAGCCAAAATCAGAGTAATTCATGGAAATATGGTACATCATTAGGTGTGGATGTCACAGAATGATTGTCTCATATAATGAGCACAAAGTCACCAAAATCATTAAGTACTAAAAATGACAGTGACAGAATGCCCACTGAGTGAATAGAGATGGTTTTCTTTTGAACCACATTGGCTAAAACCAGTGGGAAAGTTCTTGGCTGCCCTTAGAAATATTTTATTGTGTTCAGTTATAAAATTGTAAAACTCAAGGTAACTTTTAACTTTTCAATTCAAATATTGCTCCCTCCACATGAAGATTTAGTTAAATCAGGGTTGTCTTCTGTGCAAAGAGTGTTGATGTCTTTCATGCAAATTAGCACATTGAGGCAGCCCTCGCTTCTCATGGTACCTTGTTAACTGAAACTCCTGCGCGTGGAAACCTAACCATGCCATCCTGAGTGTGCTCTGGTGGTATCTAGTGTCAGATCCAATATGCAGGGATTTTGTTTAACACAGTGCCATGAATTGCAAAGATAACCAATAAGTACCCATTTATATTGATCAATGGCCTACTGTTGAGAACAACACTATGAGTATGTCAAAGATGTGAATGTCATTCTGTAAAAGTATCTCTGGGTGAGTTTAATTTGGGGAGAATCATTCAAAATAGGTTGTTTTCATCTTGGCTTATCCTGCTATTAACTCTCTCACCTTTTCATCCCTGCAGGGACTGAGTCACCTGCACCAGCATAAAGTGATTCATCGAGATATTAAAGGGCAGAATGTCTTGCTGACTGAAAATGCGGAAGTTAAACTAGGTGAGAACAGAGTCCTGTGAGCCGAGGGACTGCTTAGAATTGATAAGAGGATTTCAACAGCTCTTTCTTTAAATTAATGTATATTTGTTACTCATGAGTTTGGGGGGCCATTGCCCTAAAAGAGAAAAAAAATATTTTTTCTGTTTCAAAGATATTTTCTAAAAGCATTTTGAGGAATCAGTTGTAAATGCTATGATGAACAGAAGAAACTTGTGCTTAATCAATGTGTAGAGATATTTGGGATTTTTTTTTTTCAGTAAAGATTAGAAGTGATAGACCTTAAAATCATCTCCTGCATTTCACATTTTTTATGCTTGCTGTTATGACAGAACACTGATGACCCAATTTTTCATTGAAAATATTCATAGTTAGACATATTTAAAATAAGCAAATTCTGCTATGTTCCCATATGTTTAAGTTATATGTATATTGATTTTATGATTACCTAGGCCACCTGTAGAAAATGGGTGCTTGGTAGTCTGCTTTAGGTGCATAATGATTACCCTCCTGCATGTGCCGGTTGCCAGTGGGGGATCCCTTTCTTTGACATATCTATTAGAGCCCTTCCCCACAGCAGGTCTGGGATTCTCTAGATGAGGTGCAGAACCCCCATGCGCATTTGCCTGCTTGAGTAAAAATGTAAACTGACCAATATCCTGTAGGATTCATGATTCATCATCTAGAACAGGATGACTGTCCATATGGTTGTTTATTTTCATTGAGATTTAAATATTTGCTCTTTTGTTAAAAATATATAAATTCCTCTTATTGTATTTGGAGTTAAACTTTCATCTCATGAATATTCCGTTTTAAAAAAATCAAAGCATGCGTTTTGTAGGCTAAGCAGACACTTATGTGCAGATTAGATGAGCTGTCGGAAGATTCGGTCATCCCTGTTTAACAGTTACTTGTTGAGAGTGTAGCAGTGCCATGTCCCTTACAAGGCACTTAGATGATCTCATGTAAATATTAGAGCACTGTATGTAGGTGACATCATCCTCATTTCATAAGTTAGGAAGTCCAAGCTCAAAGAGGTTGATCCACTCATCCTAGGTCACAACACTAGTGAGTGGCAGAAACAGGATGCGAACTTTGGCATCTGACTCCAGCCCTCAGCCCTTAATCACTTATTTTGTACCACCCTTTATGGCAATCAAGCTTGCCTTTTATTGAACACCTATTTTTGGTCATTATGGAGTCTTGGTATAACCAAATATAACACTTGGTGTTTTATCATTGTATACTTCATGCATTTATCATGAAGTTGAAAAATTTATGTTCACAGTATGGAAAAGGCAGAAGCCATTCCAGTAAGACAAACAAAATGTGGTATATACACATATAGTGAAATGTTATTCAGTATTACCAAGGAAGGGATTCTGGTACCTGATACAACATGGGTGACCTTTGAGAACATTATGCTGAGTAAAATAAGCCAAACCAAAAGACAAACACTATATGATTCCATGTAACTGAGCAGTCAATTTAGAGAGACAGAAAGTGGGAGGTTGCCAGGGCTTGGGAGAGGGCAGTAGGGCAGTTCTTGCTCAATGGATCAGAGGCTCAGTTGGGAAAGATGAAAAGTTTTGGTGGTGATGGTTGCACAGTGTTAATGGACTTAATACCACAGATGAAAATGATTAAAATGGTACATTTTTACATCTTGCCATGTTAAAAAGCACAAATCCATTTTCCCATGTTAAACCTGAGATCGGGGAATAAACAGTAATTTGGCTGTTTTCTCTTCATTAGTGGACTTTGGAGTCAGTGCCCAGCTTGACCGAACAGTGGGCAGGAGGAACACTTTCATTGGGACCCCCTACTGGATGGCACCAGAAGTCATTGCCTGTGACGAAAACCCAGATGCCACATATGATTTCAAGGTATGACTTCTTCTTTGTGTTTTAAAATTACACCTAAATTCCATCCTGAGTCTTGCAGTGGAAGAATTCTCTTGTGCTTTCAGATTTGGTATGTATGTGTCCCAATGGGAGAACTGGAGAAAAAAATGACATTTTAGTGAGAATCTTTATAATGAATCCACCTCACATGCCTATTTAAAAAAATTTTTCTTTAAAAGTTTGAATCATATTCTATATTCTTTTTCTTGGAAAATAGGTTGGATTTCCATTTTGATTATTGTCTAGATTTTTGGCCAAGTACATATTCTCTTCTTTGTCCAGTTCATTACTAGTTCTTGTTTTACCAATTTGATTATTGTCTAGATTTTTGGCAAAGTACATATTCTCTGACCAGTTCGTTTATTAGTTCTTGTTTTTAAATTTATTATTTTACATATTAACAGGGTACCATGTGATATTTTGAAACATGTATACATTGCCTGTTGTTTAAATCAAGTTAAACATATTTCTCTACGCAAACTTTAATAATTTCTTCAAGCTGAAAAATTTCAAAATCTTTTCTTCTAGCTTTTAAAAGGTACAATACATTATCATTCTAGTCACTCTATTGTACACTGATAACACAAAATAACTTTTTGCTTCTAGGTAACTATAATTTGGTCCCCACTGATCAACCTTTACCTATCCCTTCCACTCCCAAGAACATATTCTGATAGCTTTTAATAATACAAAAAGCCAAGATATGCATTTGTTATCTTGGGTCATCTTTTTCTGAAAAGAATAATCAGACTTCCTCATTTCTGCATTGCTCAGAGTCTAATTATTCAGGTCTCTTTTCTGTGAGAACCAAATGAGATGTTGATCACTACTCTATGGTGGTTTCTCCAGAAATTTGATTTGCAGCTTATCACTTTGTATTTTAAGCTGGAGATTTTCTAATAAATTCAAAGCCATGTTCAAATAGAGGTCTTCAAGAAGCCTTCCTCTATCTGTTCCACAAGCCATCCACCAAACATGAATTTGGGTTGCTGCCCCACTGCTAGCTCAAGTGTCCATTGACATTGTTTTTTTCCTGGCTAAGAATAGATACAGGATAGGACTGGGTGCAGTGATGTGTAGGTAGGAACTGTGGGTTTTCAGGTTGAGCACTAGGTAGAGAGACACCCTGTGGACAAAACATGGTACTGCCTGGTTTTAGAGGTTCACGTTCCTTCCCAAAATGACTGGCCTTTTGCAAGTGCTTACCCACTTAGTGATCTTCTCTGCATTGGGTCTTGAACCCAGGTCTCCCAACTTTCTGAAGATAGCTCTGTTCTTCCATAACTTACTTCAGCATAAGCCTCCAGTTTATCAAACAAATGAAAAGTATATTTGACAAAGTCCTGTTTAAAGACCATTTAGTTCTTCACATGTGGGATTATCATTGAAATCAGGCCACAACAATGCAAACCTTGCAGTATCTTTGGGACCCAATATTTCAGGGTATTGACAAAATTACTTGCCTCCTTGGGGAAATGCAAGTTTGAAGGTCTGAAAACCTAATCTCCTGTAAATATGCTCCTTCCTCTAAAGTTAGTCACTGCCATAACCTGACAACAATCTGTCTGAAAACAGCTGCCAAGTTAAAAATTAATCACCTGCCAAAATAAATGACATTTATTTAAACTGCTAATGATTAACATGTTTAAGTAATTCCATTTGCAAATCTCTTCAGAGGAGCCACCACAAAGTATATGTCCCAGGGTAGACATGTATGTTATACTGGCCCTGAGAAATTCTTCATACTTTAGTTATATTTTACAAGTGCTAACTATTCTAAGTCTGGGCCATGGATATTTTAGATGACCTGAACATATACCAGGAGGAATCAGTGTTTTTGGACTTATCTCAAACTTAACCTTTTTTGTATAATGACAGATACATTATATGTGGGACTTCTCCTCTGTGGCACAGAGTAGATCCCTCTGATAGATCTTTTGAGAGGCATAACTAGAAAAGACCTTTCTTCTTTCCAAGCCAAAGCTTGGAATTAAAATAATTTCTTGGGGGCTGGGATTGTAGCTCAGTGGTAGATAACTTGCCTAGCATGTGCGAGGCACTGGTTTTCGATTCTCAGCACTGCATATAAATAAATTAAATAACGGTCCGCCAACAACTAAAAACAATTTTTAAAAGAATCATATCATGGGGCTAAGGATATAGCTCAGTTGGTAGAGTGCTTGCAGCTCATACGCAAGGCCCTGGATTCAATCCCCAGCATCACAAAAAAAAAAAAAAAAAGAATCCCGACAGAACAGGTTCCTCTCCATCAGTCATTTAGACCTTCTTCTGAATTAGTTTATCAGGCTCATCATGAGTGCAGGCTGTTTGAAAGGAAGAAAAACTCATGGCAATAATGTGGGCTTCACTGGTCACCTGTCACGGGTACAAAAGAAGGCGCATGACCGAAGGGTGAATCAGGAAAATTGGGCAGAAATGAAGATTTGGGGATTCTTTGAAGATTTATTTCAATCACTTCACGGTTTCACTATAGGCCAGAGAAGATGCTAATCTTAAAAAAAAAAAAAAAAAGCAAACTTCCTTCTTTATTGCCACTATATCTTACTCTTTTTATTTTCTGTCCAGATTCTCTTAGGAATGTGGTCTGTCACCAAGGGACAACTTGACAATAACACCCCATGTGCCTTAGTGAATACCCACTGTGTGCATGGGGTTGGCCAGGCTCTATCTGTGGCAGCGGTTGGGCTGTTGACAAGAGTTCATTCGGGACCCCGTCAGAGATTTGGTCCTGTGTGTTTGATGTTCCGTTGACCAGCAGGGTCTCCCAGGCTCAGAATCTGGTGTCAACACTAGGGGCTGTCACACGTGATAGATGCTTTCAGCTGAGATGACATGTTTAGAATAAAAGATGACTTGAGGGCCAGTGGATATTTCTAAATTTCCTGCCATGAGATCCCTTGCTTTAAAATAAAGGCAAAATGTAAGCCAGTACAGGATAGTTTTGATTTTGTTGATTACTGATATTATTGATTATTATTTGACTTAAGATGTCTTTAAAAACTGTTTCAAGTTTTTGTTTGTTGTTTGATTTTTAAAAGTGAAGTCATTCATTGAGCATTATGAGGGCCTCTGTAGGAAAGTAGTCTGAGAGCTCATGGCTTTTATTGCAGCCTGGCTTTGTGGGTTATCTACTGGGCTCAGTAAGTCACTCTCTGCAATAGAGTCTCCTCAGGAGGAGTGCCAGAATCTCATTTGCCTGGTGTGTTGGCTTCCCCTGGAGGCCCTGCCTTTCTTGTTTTCAGAAATTCTGTCAAAACACTTCAAGCGAAAGGAAAGGTTTCATTTCCCTGATAAGTATGCGGGGCAATAATGAAAGCTTTCCCATTTAATAATAAGCATTCAAAAGATTTGAAATTAATAAAACTACTCAAAATTCCTAGGCTGTTTAAACTGTTATTTTTAAAACTTACTCTGAATTTTATTTCAGTTGGATGGAATCTGCCAAGCATTTTATAGTCCTGTGTACTTATTACTTTTAATAGAACCACCCACTAAAGAAAGTTCTCTGTGGCCAAATGCCCATCAATGGGAAACAGGTTGAACAGAGACCAGAGCATCTGTCCAGTAGAATATTACATAGCTATTTTGGCAAAGGGGTGCATATATGTTGGATCCGAAGAGACCCCAAGATAGCCTAAGTGTAGAGTATGGAATAGAACTATCTCGTAACATCAACTTACTCTACCCCATGCCGTGGAGAGAGACACATGAGAAATCTAGAAGGAATCTGGAATATCCCAAGAGTGTTTTACCTCTGAACAGGGCATGTGGATGGTGAACTTAAAATTATTTTCTGTCTCCTCTTGTCCTGTTTTAATGTTTTCGCCATTAGCAGGCCTTGTACTCATTAAACTAGTGAAGAGAAATGAAGTGGATGGCCAGTCCTAACACCCCATACCTGCTGGGCTTTTATACCCCAGGCCAGATCTGTGCTAACACTGTGTGCTATTCATCTATATTCTGTTTATGAGAGTTTTCACACAGGTGCTATGGATTATTTGTAAGCATAGGGGTCTCCTCTGGTATTTGGGTGAATATTGTGTTCAGGCTGTGGAGAAACTGCCCGATTCATTATCCCACGTCCCAGATATTGGCTTAATAAGCAGGGTAGAAATAGTGCTTCTCAGAGGCTCAGCCAGAGATGACATAAACAACTGCCTGATAGGAGAGTCACTGTGATGAAGGTGTCACCCAAGAGGACAGTATTCAGGCTACAAAATGGTACATTTATACTTTCAAAGGAGTCCAGGCCTCTGTCTGCTGAAATCCAAACAGGGGTTCTTCCCTATTTGTTCAAAAGGAAGATGATACAGTTGGGCATGGGGGTACATGCTTGTGATCCCAGCAACTTGGGAGGCTGAGGCAGGAGGATGGCAAGTTTAAGGCTAGCCTCAGCAACTTTTCAGCAAGACCCTCAACAACTTAGTGAGACTCTGTCTCTAAATAAATAAATAAATAAATGCTCAAGATGTAGTTCAGTGGTAAAGTGCCTTGGGTTCAATCCCCAGTGCAAAAAAAAAAAGGTGGGGGCGGCGAGATGGTACCAACAACCACATTAGTGCCACTAGCAGGAAACTGACACCTGTTATACATGTTCATAAGTGTCCATGTTCACACCCACCTAGATAGGACTCCTCAGTCAGGCCCAGCATCTCCTCCAGGCAACACGCACATCTCAGTGGAAGAGATTAAGTTCAGTAGTTTTCCTTTGGCCCAATAACATGTAGGTGGATGGGGACTGCAGAAAGGTATTTCTTCAGTTTATGTTTAAACAGGATTTTTAATACCTACCGCTCTTGGGAATATCACCAGTGACCCTGAACTCACCACCTTAGTTCTGTTTATATATAATGTAGTAAGTATGTGACATAATGAATAAGTGAGTCTTTTGAAGTCAGACAAAACATGTTTAAACCATAGATTCTGCTTCCTGTTTGCTGTATTGGCTCAAGGGAATTATT